CAACCCAACTATCAATGATTCCAAGTTGTTGAAGAGTAGGCCCATTGAATCAATGGGGCTTCGGGGAGTCAAGTCCGAGGGACTCCACAAATTCCATTGACTCAAGAGGCCTGTTCCAGTTGAAACTTATAGCGCTGAAGTGAGTCGCCAGGGTTCCTGCTTTGAGCAGGGGAGTTGGCCTCGATGGTCTTAGAGGCCCCCTGCCAACTCCATGGTTCTGTGATTCTATGTTTCTCAACGGCTGGAGAGAGAGAGAGATGCTCAAGATGAGCCCAGCATTGCATCATACCATGGTTCTAAAAGGAGGCGCACATTTTCTTTGCCCCTCGGGCTGCTTTTCCATCCTGCCCAAGCTGAACTTGGCTCTTCTTCACACACACACACACACACACACACACACACACACACACACACACAGAGCCATCAGCTGCAGTCTGGTGGATGTGTGCAGTCCCCCCCCCTTCCCAGCCCTGTGTGTGATGACTCTGCAAATAACAAAGGGGGGGGTGTGTGGAGGTGGAACGCATTACCCCCGTGACATCTCGGCTACACTAACGTTTTACGTCCAGGTGCCCGCGGGGTTTTAATTGAATGTCAAACATAATTTGAGGAAGGTAACGGAGAGTTCAAGCCACTGCCCTTCGAAAGCAATCCAGGGAGTGCAAATTATGACCCGCCACACTTTGCCGCAGCAGAAGGCTGGGGAGATTTCTTGCTGTCCCTGCGCAGCTTGGCAGAGGGGGGGAGAGATAAAGGAGGAAGGGGAGGGAGCGGATGAGTGAGGGTCAAGGTCAGACAAGGAAGAGCCGACTACCGGCACATTTCAAACACAGCCTTGGGGTTGAGTAATAGACTTCCCTCCTTTTATTGGGTTATTCCTCCAAGGAGCTCAGATGGACCTTCTCTCCCCCTCCAACCGTAGACTTTTTTACTCGAAACTGTACATGCCTTATTCAAAGTTCCGTATCTATTTGGTGGACAGGATCCGACCGCTTGGAGGGCTAGCATTCCTGGCAAAGTCCAACACTGATTCACAACCTCCAAACATGAATTTGGAGTTGGCCCATGACCTTGCTCACATAGCCTTGCAGGATAGGTGAGACTCAGAGAAGGTGAATAGCATTTTTGGAAGCAAAAAATTTAATTTTTTTTTAAAGGTTGAAAAAGAGGGTGCCTTATTTTTGGGCACTTCCTGAGAAGTCAGGGTTCTCTGGAAAAGACAACGATGCTGGGGAAGGAGAGAGGCAGCAGGAAAAGAGGAAGACCCAACACGAGTTGGACAGAATCCCTCAAGGTTGGATTTGCAAGATCTGAGCAGAGCGGTTGAGGACAGGATGTTTTTTAGATCACTCACTCATAGGGTCACCATAAGTTGGAGGCAACTTGATGGCACACGACAACAGTACTGGTTGGGAATTCTGGGAGTTGTAGTCCACATGAATAACGTCCCCAAGCTCAGAAATTGATTGGTCCATGCTCACTGAGTCATGGCCAAATGGGGCCTTTGGAACCCAGGTCTGTTTAAGCCAACCCTAACTCGTTAAGCGCCACACTAAACAGGCTGCCTGGTGCTCTGGTAATGTATTGCATTGTCTCTTTCTTTAATCTCTTCCCCTCTCTTGATTCACTCTTCCCCTTTTACTCCTTGGCAGGTTCTTTGATATGATATGATATTGCAAAGCAGTCTGAAATTCCATGCAGGCAAAATCATCCATTTCCTGTCACACACCGTTGGTTCCACCTCCCTCTGGAAAAACAGGTATTTTTTTGTTCAATTATGTCTTTTCTCTCTTTGCGACAAAATTCCAAATGGCTGGCCATAGCAACACACAAATATACAGTGGTGCCCCACATGATGACGATAATCCGTTCCAGGAAAATCGCTGTTTAGCGAAATTGTCGTCATG